TACTATATATAACTTGTATAGTTTAATTCCATACGGGTGTGTTTTATTTGGCAGATATTGCTTTATTTGCGTCTTCCTTGATAAGGTACTACACTTTCATCGACTACCAAAATCCGTCCTGGAGTTAGTGCAGCTTGAAAATTTTTATTCAAATTTTAAAACTTCCCCTAACTTATAGAGCTGATCATCTTTATTACACTGCTAAATATTACAAAAATGAATGCAACGCATCTGTAAAAATAACCTGTCTCGTCTCATGGTTGTCGTAATAAACTCATTCCTGAATATAGGATCTTTCGACCAATATAAATTTATTGCGGGACCATCAACTAATCCTATAACTATACATATTGAAAAAAAAAAACGTTTCAGTTCGGCTATATCGCAGTCAACTCAGTAACGTATACGTGATTTTGATCGATGTAAATATAACAACAGTTCCCGAGCAAATCTATTTGTTTCAGTGCCAATATTATGTAAAAGATCATCGGTTACAAATAACTTGTAAGCGTCTATAGGATTTTTTATCTCGCTAACGTTAAAATTTAAAATAGGCATATCTTGATATTGATTCAACTCACCAGTTGCATTGTCACTCTCACCTATATCATGCCACTTATTTTCATCATTATTTTCAGATTCTGACATTTTTTCGTTATCAAGTTCATTATAAAAGAACATAGTTTTTTTCGATTACAGAATCGTCCAAATCAAAAGGATCGTCTCGTTTATTTTCAGGGTCACTATTTTGCAACTCTGCAAGCACATGGTCTTTTAAATCAGTTGGACTTTGTCGCGAATTTACAATACTTGGGTTACCCTCGTCATATTTTTTATTTTCAACTGAAGTACTCGGTTCGTTACACTCTACAGTTTTTGTTTTGTTTGTATCAGCTGTTTGACCTAAAAACAAAATCTTTTTAACGCGAGATGACATTTTTAAACTAGAAGAACCACGTAAAAAACGGACGTAAACACACCTGTTATTAAAATACAAACGATACTAAATGTCGATTGACTGCGCAAGCATGCAGATATATAAATATGCACCGGTCCCACAGGACTGGTCTCGCACTCGAGTCACAAATTGTAATCTCTGTGCTTTACCGGCCCCCAAAGCCCGGTACAATTTTTTCGTTTAGAAATATTTAGAATCTTAAGACAAGTATATTGCTGTTTTTAGCATTTAAAACAAACGAATGTTAAGGAAGATATGTCTTTCGCAATTTTTAAAACTTTGCAGTTTTCACACGCCACACTTTAATAATAACTAACACCGGTCCCAGGGGACCTGTTCGCCTTGCACCCTTGGAAACCAACTGACTATCTTTTCTATTTCAAAAACTAACTAAAGTCTCATTCTCAAACCAGTCATCCCACCTTTTTCAATCTCATCCAATCAAAACGCGTCATACATCTCCCATTTCTTCATTTCGATAACACACAAATTTTTACCTACAATTATAAAATTTCCTAAAACTTATTTACAAAATAATCTTTTCCTACCAATTCTTAAGAACTAACAAAAGCATATCTTTCTAAATCCTATTCTATTGTCCTAATTACTACACAACATTTATTTGGAAAAACCACTTCCATTGTCTAAGGTTTCACTTAAGCTTATGCAGGTCACTCAAATATATTTTAACAAAGAAAATAATTTATGCATATCTTACTTTTTGTTCAATACAGGTAATCCAAAAATTTAAAGACTTTCCTTCTTCGAAATGTTTGTTGTTTATTGTCCTACTTATCTGAATTATTTTAATTTTTTTGGAACTTTGAAATATTTTAAGCAAACCAATATTTTTCTTGATTTTACATATCATAACAATATATATATATATATATATATATATATATATATATATATTTATATATATATATATATATATATATATATATATATATATATATTGAATAGAATAGGGGATATTATGCATTCCTGTCAAACTCCAGTTTTTAATTTCTAGTTTTTTGAAACCATATTATTAACTCATAACCATATTACTAACATATAGTTTTTGTAACAAATAAGTTAGATGTTTTGGCGTACCCATTTCTCAAAGTATTATCACATTTTATTCATGGTATCGAAGGTAAATATGTTTCTATGTTAAAATCTCAAGATTTTTCTATAATTTGACGAGTATTAAAAATATGTTCTCTTGTTCTTCTACCTGGGACAAATCCGCATTGTTCTTCTGGAATTTGTGGTAAGAGAATTGATTTTAGTATTTCGTTGATGATAGTATAAAGGACTTTATACTCTTTAGCTCGCGTGTGACATATCCATATGTTCCTTTAAAATTTGATAAATTTGCAGGAATACAATGCCATTTGATAACTTTATTTGACAGCTTCGTAAATATAATTAGTGAATGTGATTTTTAGATTTTATTTGCAGTTACCAACCATCAAATTTATTTCATTATCTGAAAATATTTGATACAGTCGGCAGTGATACGGACAATAAAACGTCCTATTATTAAAATAAATGTCTCATTAGTTAGATCCCTATCTACATCTATTATGGAAGTAATTTCTAATAAAATAATTCAATCTTAAAACAAATTCTGACAACCATGCTGCTGGAATAGTAAAATTTACCATCAATTGGTTGGATTATAGGACCAACTATTATCCCACTTTTTACATCTTGTGCCAAAAATAAGACCTAAACGATACTTATAAATAAATAGTAATTTATAAATATAAATTTATGGTTATTAACGACTAATAATTAATCGCTACATAGTTGGTTTGTTAGTCACGCTATATATCTAGACTAGAAGATATTATAAAAAGGGATTACATAGTATGAGAGTAGTTAAGAAATATGAATAGTGAATTACTTAGATATTAATCGATAATAGAATCAGTAAATACGTATTAACCATAAAAATATCTATTATCAAATCAGTATAAACTACTTAGCACAAGTAATATGTAAACATAAGTTTTACCGCATTAAATATAATTTGATGATAATAAAATTCTACAGATAACAGTTTACTTATGATTACACTTTATAAATTAAAAAGCAATTAGTTTAATTAAAAAAACGGAAAGTTTATAATACCTTCCTAAGTTCAAAAACTGATACAAGTATCTTTAAAAGATGTCGTCAGGCATGATGACGACATACCAAACTAAGACTTTTTTTGATTAATAATATTTATGATTTGTGATGTTTTCTACTAACTAGTCATGTTTTCGATGAAATTTATAATGTATCCTTAACCCTTCATTAGCCGTATATAGGTCCAATGGACCTAGATCCCAGTTTTGTGCCTGTAATTTAAAATAAATTAAGATATTTCATTGAGCCTAAATCGTATCTAATGATGACCAGTTTTCTATTACCTTCCGAAATAGCATTCCAATAACCGCCGAGATTTCCCAGAAATTCGCGTGCGTCCCTATTTGGTACGTCTGTTCTAGCGTTGAGTGTTATACAGTAAACGGCTAAATTATGGAATTATCATTATTTCGAGAACCGTCAAGTTTTGAGGGAAATCCCGGAATAGGTCGACGTAATCGTTAATTTTTTTAAATAGAAATCAGTATATTGCGATACCTAATTTGAAGGAAAATTTAATTCTCTATTTGACGACATTACATTTTTAACTAAAATATTTTTTGTATGCTACAAAAACATTTATTTTTAAATTTGAATTTAACTAAATTACAACTAATGATTTATTTAATAATGTACTTTCAAGTAACCAAATTATGCATAAGAATTATTTTAAATTAAATGTGTGAAACGCCATCCATCGGTTTCTTGACAATATGCGAATCTATTAAATCTATGCGGATAAATTCATCAAGTACACTGCGGATGACTTCTGAAGTAATTAGACTCATTTTATGCCTAATTCTATCTTTCAAGTCCTGTAAGTTTTGGTGTCTTATGACATGAACTTTTGATTTTATGTAACCTCACAGGAAAAAGTCTAGAGGTGTTAGATCTGGCGACCTTGCTGGCCACTCTATATAACCTCACGTGCTACTCTATACTTCACGTGCGTAATGCGAAGGGACTCCATCTTGTTGAAACCAGATATTTTAACTAGGTAAATTTGGAATATTGGCATTTGGATACAGGTTAGCAAGGACAAGTATAAGTTGATTTCAAAAAAAAAGTTAAACAACGTCCTTCTGTTAGGAAACAGCCAACGATTCTGTCATTAATGATCCCTGCCCATACATTTACTTTCTGAGAATATTGCGTGTGTGACTCAGTCATCCAATGTGGATTGTTATAATGCAATATATATCCAATGCTATAATATCCGAATCCTGGTATATTTTGTATAGTTCATTTTAAAATGCTACTATCCCAAATTACCAGTAAAATATTAAAAACCTGTTATTTATATACAACCGCCAAAACATACTTAATAACCGTAAGAATCGTCTAATACGGCGAATAACGAAGAAGAGCAGACAAAAATGTAGTACAAGAATAGATCAAGAAATGATAATAGTCCAGGTGATTCTGTTTGTTCGTGATTTGCTGGAAGTACGGGAGCAGAAGTATATATATATATATATATATATATATATATATATATATATATATATATGTCGGTTTTAAAAAAGATTATTTAAGAACTGTGTTAAAAAAGAGACAAAGATGTTGTGGGGGGTTTTGTCTTTTTAACTTGTGTGTCTTTTAACAATATCTTAATTAATTAATTAATCAACTGAATATTCTTTAAAATAATAATGCAATTTGTTTTTTTCGATATTTTAAATATGTAGAATAGATTAGAATATGTATTAAACAATATTGTAATATGTAGAGTGAAATAATTAAAATAAAAAGATTTCAATATGTAACGAGGTAAATTAATCAGGTCTATTTTAATAGATGTTATTATTACTTTATTCAGTTAAGATTATATTAAATAATATTATGCAAGATATAATATTTTATTTTATTCTAGAGCAATATGTTATACTAAGATCTAAAAAATAGCAGAAAAACTTACTACGATTGTAAGGACAGCCAAAAAGAATAGCAGCTTCATTGCGTATTATTAAGTGATAGGTAGAATTAACTGAATTAACTGCTACGTACTAGTAAAGAAACAGTACTTATTATATTATATACATCTATAGTATTCATATTATTATCTACCATTTTTTATTAAATACTTTGTTAAGTAGTTTAAAGATGTTATCGTAATTGACACACTTGATAATAACCCGATTTCGAAAAATGATCGATTTCACTAGAAAATCTATTATAGGTATCCCATGGCGTTAAGTCATAGCGGTGATATAGTTATCAAAACAAATTAATATAAATCGACCTGATGTTAGACCAGCCCTATTTTTTATAACGAAAGGTATTTTTCTTCTGGTGGACTTCATTACTGGAGGTTTGTGATTATTAAATCATAAGCAAGACCAAAGTCCTAAAATTAAGTTTTTTATCTGTAGCATTTTTGGATTATATTATTTGCAGTTTTTGCATGGTAAAACTATTGTGTTATGAAATAATGGGTAATTTGAATTTTTACAAGTTCAAATCTATCAATAATTATAACCAACATATAGGATCTTGGTAATAGGTCCATTAAGTGTTTGAAGAAGCGTGAACAATTTCAAATTGATTAGTTTGTTATTTAATCCTTTGAAGCTGTGTGGTCCAAGAGTGTAACCTTTACATACATTTTTTCAGTTTTTTTTTGGTGTTATGTTGGGATCACTAAAGAAATTGCCCCAAGATTAAGGAAATCACGACAAGTATTATTTTTTTTATGTTACGTTCAGTAATTTCCTACGGTGCACATTTTTTCAAAATTAAGTTTTGCATATTTTGCATGTTTTACATATATCTTTAGGCATTTTTAGTATATTTTTATATTTTCAATTTTTCTTTTATTTATATAGTTTTTTTTTACATTAAGGCGCATCAACCTAAGTGGTTATTAGCGCCGCTTGGTATTACAATTTTGTTTTACATTTTTTTAGACATAGATTACATATAGACATAGACATAAAATAGAGTTTTACATAGATAAATCTGAGTTGAAGTACATTGGTTAATAGAAGATTACACATTTATTTGTACAGGCACTGATGTTAAATTTTGTTGTATATTCCAATTGACTTTAGAAAACTTAAAACAGACGAATATACACATTGTTCTTGTAGACACTCGCGTAGCGTTGTCGGTAAGTTACACTTTTGCCCCTCATTTAAATATACCGGGCATTCGATTAAATAATGTTTGACACTTGAACTGTTGAAACACTTACCGCACATTGGATGAACACTTCCAGTAATAAGGTATTTGTGTGTTAAGCGTGTATGTCCTAATCTTAATCTGTTTATTATAATTTGGTCTTTTCTGTTGCTACACATATTGTTCCATCTTGTAACAGTTGTTTTTATGTCTCGTAGTTTTTGTTGAGATTGATTCCAATCTTAAAGCCACTGTTCTTTCAATTTCGAGTTAATCCAGTGATGAAAATCTTTCTTATAGGTAGGTTCTATCAAGTCTTCGTTGTTGACTGAAGATTTGGCGGCAGCATCTACTCTTTCATTACCTTGTATACCTATATGTGATGGAATCCACATAAATTTTACAATCGCAGTCTTTAGCTGAAGTTGGTACAAATGGTTCTTTATCAATCGCAACAATGGATAAGTTGGGTAAATGGTGCCTAAGCTACTCATGGAACTTAAGGAATGTGTTATAATTAGGCACCTGTCTAAGTTGGCGTCCAGTGCATATTCTAATGCTTAGTAGATTGCGAATAGTTCTCCTGTATATACTGTGCTAAAATTTGAGATTTTGTATGAAGCAGTGTAGTCGTTGTGTATGAAGGCACATCCCACTCCTTTTTCTGATTTGGAGGCATCAGTATAAATATGTTGGTATTTCTGGTACTCATCAATCTTACTGTAAAATTGTTTAACCATAGAGGAAGCATTAAGTTGATTACTAGTCTTTGTCAAACTCAAGTCTAGGAAAGGTTTTCTGACCACCCAAGGAGGAGGAGTTAAAAGGGTGGTTTGATATATTTTAGGGAAGACAATATTATTGCTGGCCATGTATCTATTAAGTCTTTCATAAAAAGGGGGTTTAGATCTTTTTTTGTTAAGATATGTTGTGTGGAAACGAGAAGCAAAGACATTGACGGGATTTTCACTATTTGATGAAACGTTTGCAGCATATGCTAGGCTAAGATATTGTCTTCTTAATTCCAGAGGCATTTCTCCTACTAAACATAATAAGCATTTACTTTTGTTGGAACAAAATTTCATTCCAGATTTCATTGACCATTTTTCTAATGCAGAAATAGTATGTTGTAAGGTTTGTTTAATTAGTTCTATGTTTCTTCCTTTACAATAAATTATGAGATCATCTGCGTATAGCCTACTTTTTACTGGTGGAGAATCGTTTTCCAAAATACTGTTAATAGCAATAAGAAAAAGAGTAACACTAATCGATGATCCTTGAGGGGTTCCATTTTCCTGTATTCTTGTTTTAGAATTGAAATCATCTACTTTTACTTGGAAACTTCGGTCTTTTAAAAAGTTATTGATGAATTTTAGCATATTTCCTTGTATACCTAATTTCTGTAAAGTTTTAATTATTCCATGGCGCCAAACTGTATCAAATGCTCTGGTTATATCAAAAAATACCGCTATGCAGCTTTGATTATTTGCTAGCGCTTCATGTATTTCAGACTCGAGGTCAACTAAGTTGTCTAGAGTTGATCTATCTTTGAGAAATCCACTTTGTTTGTTAGATAAAACAGATCTTTGCTCGAGTATCCAAATAAGACGTTGGTTAATTAATTTTCGAGCACTTTGCTCATTGCACATCCTAATGATACTGGACGGTAGGAGTTTGGATCTGAACGTGGTTTACCAGGTTTAAGGATAGGTATTGTATAAACATTATTCCAAGTATATGGAAACACTCCTTCAAGCCATATTTTCTTATATATCTTTAGTAAATATTCAAATCCATTTTTAGGCAAATTTTTAAGGAAAATAATAGGAATATCATCTGGACCAGGACTAGAGTTTTTAATAGAATTTATAGATTCAGTTAACTCTTCCTCTAGTATTGGTGCATTTATTGGTAGGTTATCACTTTTATCATAATTAAATTCTTGTAATTCTTCTTTGGTTTTAAATTCTAAAAACTCTTGAGAAAAGTTATCGTTACTTGAATATGACTCGTAGGATGAAGCTAATACATTGGCTATTCCAGATCTAGATGTATGAACTTTGTTCTTATATTCTAAAAATCTTATTAATGAGTTTGTGTGGCGTCCCGAAATTTTGTTAATTTGTTTCCACACTATTGCTGCTGGAGTAGAACTGTTTATTGTTGATAAAAACTTTCTCCAAGATTCCTTTTTTGCTTCTTTTACCACTTTTCTACTAATAGCCCTTATCTTCTTAAATTCTAGGAGATTTTCTTGTATTTTTTGTATTTATTGAATGCTCTGTGAGTGTTCTTTATAGCATCCTGACAGTGATTATTCCACCATGGTACTCCAATACGATTTCTTACTATTTTCTTTTTTCCAATGATATGATCTGCTGCGGAAAGTATAACGGAAAAAATTTATTTACTAAGTCATTTATATTGTCATGCGGAGATGGATTTGAAAAAGAATTCAATTGATTCTCCACAAATTGTGTAAACGGTGACCAATCCTCTATTTCTGTATTCCATTCCAACCATAGTGTATGGTTGAATTTTTTGTTCGTTTTCGAAATGTATCACTATGGGAAAATGATCGCTTCCATACAATTGTGTACTAGCTTCCCAAGTTATGTTTTGTACTAAAGAAGAATCTACAAGAGATAAGTCAATACAACTAGTGTTTCCAGTAAAAGAATTAAATCTTGTTGGAGATCCATCGTTAAGTAGGGTAATATTGGTGTTATTAATGACCGTTTCTATTATGTGTCCTATTTTGTTATATCTATTAGATCCCCAAAGTGGGTTGTGTTCATTTAGATCTCCTACTATAATCTTAGGCGACGGAATTTGTTCTATAATATGAGTTATCTCTTTTATACTTATATCAGTATTCGGTGGAAAATAAATGTTGCATATGTTAATAATTTTTGAAGTTTTTATGGTTACTGCTACTGCTTCAAGGTTGATATTTAAACGTATTTGTCTAGATTCCAATAAATTATTAACATAAATAGAAACCCCTCCACTAGCTTTTTTAAAATCACGTCTGTTTTTATGATAACCTGTAAATGTTTTAATTTTGCTAATTTTTGGTCAGTAAAATTCGTTTCTTGGAGACATATTATTGAAGGTGAGTGTTTAGTAATTAATAATTTAAACATTTCTAGTTGTGTATAATAACCGTTTATGTTCCACTGAAGAATTGACATTTTTGTTCTATATGTTAATTTTTATTCTTGGGCTTAATGGATATTAACTCTAGTTAATGGATTAACTTGGATATTTTGCGCTTAATCTTTGTGCAACGTGTTTTCATTATTTTTTCATTGAACAGAGGGTAGATGTTGTCAAATAATTGTAGTAACCCCTCAATATCTTTTGTAAAAATTTAAGCAACACTCAATGGGTCAGGTGAGCCATACTCGTTTTCAAAAAAATGTGTCGTTTCTTGGTAATTAAGAACCCTTTTGTTTGTGTCGTCTTCAAAAAATACTTTTGTTGGCTGCATCAATTTCTGTATATCAATAGGATCTATTGTTGGGATAGTTCTCTTCTTTTTTGAACGTGTATCCTTAGTAGGCAGTATAAAGCATTCAGGAGTTTCAGGTGGTGTAACTGTTTCGGAGGAAGCTCTTTTGCTCTGTGTTTTCAGTGTAGGTTCTGTGCTAATTGGTGAAGTGATCAATGATTCATTAGTTTCTAATCCTATTTTATTAACGTTCATACCTTCATTTATAAGAGGGTTATCGGTTTTTGGCCTTGGTTTATTTTCATCTATATCTTTATGTTTGTATTGTTTAGATTGAGTGTCTTGTACCAAATAATTTGGTTCTGAATGGATTTGTACTGAGTGTTGTGTTACGTCGGTTATAATGTCTGCTGTAGTTACTGTGTTATTTATTATTGAACTGGAGTTATTGTTTTTTTTGAGGACAGTTTGAGGCGATATGGTCAATCTTTTTACAAGTATAACAGGAGTGTTGGTCTACAGACATAAAAATTCTATAGTTTGTATTATCATGACAAATTAACAAGGATTCAGGAAGTATTAGGTCCACTAAAGGTGAAATATATACCTGTCTATGAAAACTTAGTACATGCTGAAATTCGGGACGAGATGTGCCCATTCTAAGGAATGATAGGGGAGACATAAGTTTAAAGCCTAGTTTTTGTAGTTCTGATTCTAGAATACTATGTGGAATTGTTGGACATACATTGGATAATATTAGTCGTTCACTAGGAGTAATTATTGTTCTTCCTTGTAATATTTGATTATTTACTATGATTTTTACTTGACGAACATTTATAAATTTGTCAACTAATTCTTCCTTAGATAAATAAATACAAATCCTGTTGTTAGCTATACGAGAAGAGAACAATATATCTTTTGTAGAAATAACTGATCCTAGTGATATAAGGTAATCTTCTAATTTTACGTTTTCTAATGAACTAAATACTATAGCTTGCTCTCTGGATGGAAAATTAAGAGTACTGGTTACTGATGAGTACGATTTTTTGAGTGTTGGTGGTAGAATACAGCTCATTTTCTGAGCTAATTCGGAATTAATATCATCCATTTAAATAAACTTCGAAATAAGTCATTAGATCTGAATGCGGTCCTGTATCCAAGCTATTACAAGGTAATTAAGCCGGTGCAAAAACAAAAAAGATAAGAAATTCTTGTTTGTATTTGAAATATTCGATGGTTCTTCTTATGTTGTCAAATAGATATTTTTGTTTATTACTAATAATTGATGTAATATAAGCTGACTTACAGAGTCTCCGATGTTACTCCTAATCAGGAACTTCACCAACTCACTCTTGTAATTTTTCAGAGGGTATATTTAACTTGAAATTCACTTTACTTAAGAGCCGATATTTTCCTAGTTAACTTCCAGGTCAGGACTTACATAGTTAATGTTTGGAAGTTTGGATGTTTAGAGTTTAGAATGGTTCTTCCCATCTTAGTCCTTTACCATCATTTTTGTTTCATTTGAACGTGACTTCTAAATGATCGGCAAATCGTTTTGATTTCTGTTCGTTACTTCTAGCCCAGTTGCATTTTTCAACTTGATAGTAAGAGAATGAATAATTGGTCTCTTTATTCTTTTTGTTGTTTCCCGGAATCAATAATATGTGTTCTGGTCAGCTGTCAAATTATTTCAAAAATAATCAATTGTTGAATTTTTTATATTATTTTTAGTTTTTGTGTAGCATTATTTAGACTTGTTTCGTGGAGCTTTTCTTTTATCTACAACAAGTTCTATGATTTCTCTTGGATAGTTGTTCCCATTTGTTCTAAAAGTTATTGTGAGAGTATTTTCCCAAGCTACCTGATGAATATTTAAAAAAAAACTTCTAATTCGTCATCAAGTGCCTCGTGTTTCTCAATGACACAGCAAGATTAATTTTGTGTTTTAGGTTTATTTTAAAACTCTCCTCTCTCAGTTTTTTATTAGTCAATATTGGATTGAACTTTTTTTTGATCACTGTATTATTCATACTTAAAATTATCTCTTATTGAAGTCATTGATATCCACATAGTTAGCTGAGATATTTTTGTAAATAATGAAATCTATCAGGTCTGTAATTTTGTTTCTATCGGTAGGCCACTATGTTGGTCTACAAGTAGATATAACTTCACCCTTTTGTTTTTTAACATCTGACAATAGTTCTTTTCCTTTAGTTGTAGCCCCAGTGGGTATTACTTGCATTAAAGTCGCCACCGATGATGTATCCTTTTCCTAAAGTTTTTATAAACTCTTTATATGTTATCTTTAATTATGATACCGCTTCCTTCTTTAACTTTATTTCATTATCTGGCTGTAAAGCAGAATATACTCTATACCCCCTTAATTTTATATATGACTGTTTAGTAAAATGTTTTTCAGAAACGAGACACAGATCAATTTTCTCAATGTCTAGTCCTGCTTGCAACTTGATCTGGTGTTGTAACAGTCTATTTGCGTTCCACGCCATTACTCGGAGGTCTTTAGCCATTTCTGATTTTGGGAATAGCTCCTTTAGCGCTATGCTGCACTCGGGTAACTCTGATATCGATTTAAGTTATTTTGTCATCAATCTTGGTGAGCTTTTCCAATATCATTTTTAATATAATATCAGTTTCTTTTTTGTTGTTGCAAGGGTGCATGTCTCCTTGCATTTTTTGTTACATCCCGGTAACTTCTCTTTTCACTGACCTCTACCGTTTTTGGTATTGTTGCATTCAATAACCCTATGGGGCGCTTTTATAACATTTTCTTTTTTTCTTTTTTTGCTCTCTGGTTTCTCATTGTTTGTAATTTTTTAGGTAGATAACACCCGCGGTAGTTTGCAGGATGGATTTCTCCACAATGAACACATTCTGGTTTATGTTTCGTTTACAGCAATCTTTAGTAAGGTGTTTATAAATACACTTTACACATCTTGGTTCCTTTTTAGAATATTTCCACGTGTGTCCGCAAGCCTGGTATCTTTTACTTACGGGCCTAATCTGGAACTCCTCAATGGCTTGATTTTAACTCTCGTACTAAGTATGTCGGTTATGTCGTAAATTCTTTTTATAACTCCATCCTGTCTATATGTTAGGATGAACAAACATATTTAGTTGTTTTTTAGTTTTCCATTTGAATTTCTTGTCAGCTTTAATCGCTTTATAGTGCTTTGTACGTCTTTTACTATTTCCTTTAATAGCCATGTGTGATGTAATTTCTTAAGTACAACTTTAATTGACCTCTCTTGTTTATTTTCACAAGTGTAGTACCAAAGGTTATTTGTATTTAATTTCTCTATTAATACTCTGTATTGATAGCTATTGGCTTTGTTAATTTTCATAACTTCACTGTTTATGATTTTCATAGTGAAGTTAATACTAGTCTTAGTTAGGAGCTTGCTCAGGTCAACAGCACTTTGAAAACTTTCTACTTTCCAGTTTTCCTGTTTTCGTTCCTTAAACCGCCAGTTTCATACGCTAAATCTTCTTTATCGATGCAGTATTCAAGTGTCACCATCATCATTTTACCTTTACAACCCTGTGTGGGTCCTAGCTTCCCCAAGAATTCTCTTCCAGTCGTCCATATTTCTCATATCTTGGTCTTTGTTATCTAGGAATCTTGTTCTGGGTCTTCCTCTTCTTCTTTGTCCCATAGCTCTATCAAGGAGAGTTTTTCTAGCTGGGTCGGTTTGCTCCATCCGCATTACATGGCCGACCCACCTCAGACATCCTGTCTTAACGTGTTTTACGATATCTGGTTCCTAGTATATTCTATAGAGTTGGAAATTGTATCGTCTTCTCCAGACACCATTATCATTTACCGCTCCATAGATTCGCCTTAGTATTCAAGTGTACCTGCTTTTAATTTCTTCGGTGATTCATCAGAAATTGCGGTTAACCCTGTAGGTTGTTAGGCTTTTTCCAAGCTGCGCTAATCTCCTTTTGATATCGGCGATTATTTGACTTAACCGTTGATTATCCATAATAAGTCGCTTAACATTTTCTTCTGACTGACAGCATGCATTATAAAGCGACTGCTTATTTTGTGAACGTGGTGTATTCTCTGCGAACATCGCATTATTTTTTTGGACTAGTAGTGCGTCTGTTTTGGTATGAACAGGAAACATTATTTTATTATTATTACAAATATTTAAATATTTCGCTTACCAACGTCTACTTAAATTTATCATGATAGCTTACAGCCATCGCCGTTGATATCACTCACTACTAAGCAAGGATAAAATAAATATAATTATTATTAAACAAATTCGTTAAATTATGTTAACTGCATAATTATAAGTTCAAAAGATACATGAGGAGAAAATACCAACTAGAGCTCAAAACCACTAGATGATTCGAATGTTTGTTCGATCTTTCTTTTGTTCGACAAGAAAAAAACTGATTTATCCGATGTCATTCATGTTTGAAGCCTTATGCAAAGACCATACTACCAAACTAATTCTGACTTGCACCTCTTATACCAACAGGGGAAACAATAGCTTGTTATTTTTTATGTATAATTATTATTTTTTCATTTATACAGTTTTTTAAATAAAATTGGAAAAAAGTTTTTTATTTGGAGCTAACTTGTATTTATTAGACTAATCGTTAAATTCTCGAACAAAATTAAATAAAAATAAACATAATATTAATATTATCTAATAAAAATACTACTTTATCTTTGTTTATAAAATCCAGCAACATAAATCATTTAAATGCGGTGTTACTAACTTTAATACATATCATAATAAACGAAACGTGTTAAAAGGTTCTAACTATTAGAGAACCTTAAACAAACAATTTCGTTTAATAGTTGCATTTGAAATTATACGTACGTATAGTTTAGTTTTATACAATACAATAAACCATCTGCTGCAATGTCACAAACGGATTTTGTTATCAAGAATCTTCCAGGTCTCATAAACCCAAAGTTAGGTCACGGAAAGGTTCTTAAAGATTTTAGAATCTCGAGACTTACAGCTGCTGGAGCAAACTATGGAAGTGTAATGTTAAAGTTAGAACTTACAGTTGCAGATAAAAATGACGAGGAAGAAACTGTACACGCAGTGGCTAAAATGTTACCAGATTCAGAAATATTCAGGGAGATTTTTCATGTACAAACAACTTTTACTAACGAAATGGCTTTTTATGATGTGATTGTGCCTACCTTGCAGGAATTTCAGAGAGGTTTAGGTATAAAAGAAGTTGTTGAATGTTTTCCGAAGTGTTATGCTACTAGAAAAAACTTACTTAACAATAGTGACAAAATTAACGATGACGCTATTATAATTTTGGAAAATTTAGTGGGTAAGTCTGTTTAATAAATTATTTTTTTAAGGTCTTTCGACTAATTTTTAAATCATTTATTATAAGTATATTTTTCCCTAGTGAATTATATAACCACCATATATTTATAGATTTTAAAGCTGCAAGTGACTTAAAAATTGACGTAAATTTCTCCAGGCCGTACCGACATTTCAAAAATCATCTTGTATGTAGAGATAGTTAGTAGTCAGAATCCAGAGTGGAATTTCAAGACTCTCATTAAACAAATGGGCTAAGATAGGGAGATGGACAATCACGTTTTCTATTTAAGTTTAAGCTGGTAAAGGGGTGTTAAGATTTTCAGAATAACACTTCTTCTTTTTCTTTATGTTTCAACATGACTCTGTCTCTTTTCCAATGCTCATCTAGTAACTTACTATCTAAAAAGACTAATGTCTTTCCATTTAGTGACCGTGATTTTCCACTGATTTGAACCGTCTCTCGTTGTCTTTACTACTTTATTTATTGTCTTTTTCCTATTTACCATAATGTCCTTTCTATTTTTTATTCAGTTCTAGATCTTTTTCACTTTGCATCTTTTTCTATATCTGTACATCTAGTTCTGTTCTATAGTGTGTACCATCGAATTATTTAAGGTGTTTTTGTCTTTGCTATTTCTATAATTATTTGTTTTTTTCTGTCAGGTCGTATTTCTAAAACGAATATCATTATTGGTCTGACGACTGTTTTGTGAATTTCATTTCTTTCTTGATACTGTTATTCATCCATAGGTTACCTGTGGCTCTGTTTGTTCTATTCATTTTATCTTCCTGTGTGAAGCCTAGATATTTAAATTTCATCAGTTCTTTTATCTGACCCTTTAGCTTTAATTTACATCTTAGTATATTGGCTGTTATGGTAATGAATTTTTCCTTTTTTTTTTGGGAAAATTAACATTTTCTGGCGATGACGTTAAATTGGTGCAGCCAACGTTGTAAATCATATTGTTTTTGAGGGTAATATCACATCGTCTGGTTAGTAGATTATTTTAAGTTGTTTTTCTTCCATTCGGTATCCTTTTTCAGTTTTCACGAGTTTTATTATTTCATCTATAATTAAGTTGAACACTAAAGGACTTCGGGATTACCTTTGTTTTATACCATTTTCAGGTTCAATTGGATCAGTTTTTTGTAGATATTTTCGATAGTTTTAATTATTTCTAAGTCCTTTAATTTGACCAGGTCAAATGCCTTTTTAATGTATTCTATTAGTTGACGACTTGTTGTTCTACTTATCCCGACGTAAAATCTTGTTTGTTTGTTAGTGCAGTTTATTTGTTATCAATTTGGTTTTTAATTTTATTATCCTGTTTAATAAACAAATTCCTCTTTAATGCTTTGGGTAAAATGTGTCTTCATTTTAAAGAGCAGTATTATGTTTTTCTTGATCTGCATTCTTTTAGTATCCTTTTTTATTTTAGTATTTTTTGGATTAACTTTAATAGTTGCTTGGTCAGATCTGGACCTCTGTATTTTAGGAGTTTATTTGGTATTCTGTCCTCTCTCGGTGATATTCGATTTTTATAATTGTCCTAATTGTTTTATTACCTCTCACTCCTTAATTTTTATTTCTTAGGTTATCATCACTTCTGGTGTTAGAAATTTATTATCATCACCTTTAGTAAATAGACGTCGAAAATAATCGGCTCGTGTTTTCTTTTAAATTTGTTTCATTTTTATTAGTTCGGTCATCTCCTTTTTTGTCTTTGAATCATTCTCCATAGCTGATTTCGTGTTATGTATAAGTCGTGTTCCATCTGTTTTAAGAAGCTCTGAAATTGTTTCCTTTTCATTTGTCTAACTAGAATATTCGTTTCATTTCGGATTCGTTTTTAGAAATTCCATGCTTATTCTGTTTGTGGTGTTTTATATTGTAAATATGAGTTCTTCTTTTCTTTACATTTCGTCGTAAATTACTCTCTAAACCATATTATGTTTATTACATTTCTTTCGCCAAATCATTGTGTTACATTCGTTAAGCCGGAGATACACATGCCTATTACTACCACAATGGCACACCAGTACCTAGCAAGCTCCACCCACTGTCACCAAACTGGCAAATGTGTACGTTACCTCATGACACTATGACTTAGCAGATAAGATATTGCGCATAAGTCGTGACGTCATTGGAGAGTTGCACGTTCGAAATGTCAGTTTTTTGTATGTATCAATAAATAATCTTTAACTTTGATGGTACACAAGGCAAATATCGAACACAGTATTTAATCAAATCTTGCCCAAGTACTTTCGATCACAAGATCATCTTCAGGGGCATTTCGTCAGTTGTGGCCTATCCAGCAGTAACAGAATGTCATAAATGTAAATTGGGACATAACAAATACACTAAACAAAGACAAACAAACACTTTAAAATTTAAAAATTGGAGAAGCTACATTTTATATAATGTAGCTTCTCCAATTTTTAAATTTTAAAGTGTTTGTTTGTCTTTGTTTAGTGTATTTGTTATATCCCAATTTACATTTATGACATTCTGTTACTGCTGGATAGGCCACAACTGACGAAATGCCCCTGAAGATGATCTTGTGATCGAAAGTACTTGGGCAAGATTTGATTAAATACTGTGTTCGATATTTGCCTTGTGTACCATCAAAGTTCATTTATTCGAACATTCAACCTTATATTGAAATAATCTTTAATAAATACTTTATAGATATCTTTATGTGTACGATTATTGTAATTATTAAACCTCTTAACTTATTTTCTTCTAGTAATTTCATCACAGAATGCATACCAATCCCATTTAACTTTAAAAATAATTCAAATTCTACTCTCCAATGACGGCATGCGCGAACACGACCGATTTTGTGCTACGGGAAGATCCTATCTTATTAGTCATAGTATCATGCGTTAACTGATTAAGAAATTGATTTTTCTTGCTAGTAGCATGCTGTGAGATTCAAGGTGCATGCGTGAGGAGCGTCACTGGTATGTGTGATCGCGCGCTATCGCTACGAGCGTGCCAGTACCTAGCAGTTTTATTTTTAAACTTGAAAATTGGGATAGAAACTATTGGGCTAGAGATAGGGTAAGCAAAATAAACGACAGTTATGCGAACGGCACTTAGGGTTTATTTGGAGAGCTGGGGTCGTGGATAAGTGAATGAAGCAATAGGATTATGTACGGGCAACTACTAAAAAATAAAACAAAGGGGTACTTAAATGAGTCTCCTAGACAAATGGACAAAACACAACAAAAAGGACCTTCGAAGGCTGCTTCGAAGTATTCCCTGTTGGATGAAGGAAAAAGGCTCTTCCTTTGGTTTTGGTGTCGTCTCAACAGAAACAGTTACACATACAGACAAAAATCTCACACATGTGCTATTGGTTTACAAATTCTGTTTACAAGTGAGAGATGCTACAAAACTTACAGCAAAAAATTGTCACTGGGCTATAATCTCTGGCAGAAATAAATCTACAAATAAAAAAATTAGATTAACTATGTATAGAGATTAACCTTCTTTTAAAAACAAAACACACCGATGTCAAAAATAGAAGTTATGTTATGAAAATGTTATTGTTCTAGAATACCTGTTAATTAACTACAATATTTCTTCCTTTATTTTTTTAAGTTTTTTAATTTTATTTACATTTCAATGTTTGTACACTTGAATATCAGGTCAGCATAATCTGGATTTATAACATAAATATTTTTGTTTATAGGATTTAGAAATGTTGAACGAACAGTAGGTTTTGATTTTGAGACCACAAAGTTGATTCTAAAAGATGTAGCCCTCCTTCATGGAATCCCAATGGCTTTGAAATTAAAAAAAGGTGATTTGTTCGAAAAAAACATTAAACCATACTGCAGTTCATTTAAACCACCAGAATCGTCTTGGGCTGTTGATATTCTAAAGCTAATAATTAATGAAAATGCAGAAATTGCACATTTGTCGTCAAAAGTTGTTGAATGGGGTAAACCACCTAGTTCAAGAGTAAATGAACCATTCGCTACTTTGATCCACTCAGATCTGTGGAGCAATAATATTATGCATAAATTTGTAGAAGGGAAAGCTGTTCAGAATAAATTTGTGGATTTCCAGGCTTGTGAATATGGTTCTCCAGCAAAGGATATATTTTTCCTACTTTTTACATCTGTTCAACTTACAGCATTGAGACTATCACTCGATTATTTCCTAAAATACTATTGGGATCATTTGGTGAATGTTTTAAAAGCTCATGGATGTGATGTTGACGTATTTACTTATGACAAGTTCTTAGAAGAAATGGAATATGTATCTACGTATGAGTTTCCACATGTTTTATTTTTTTACAATTTTGTATGTAATGCTCCGCAACATTTTCAACAAGATTTTGAGAATATTAGTCCAGAGACAGCATGTAAAAGAATACCATTAAGAGTAAAGGAGACAACTTGGTATATTGTAAAAGAATGTCACAAAAGAGGATGGTTGAAGTAATGTTTATTTATTGTATGTATTTTATAGGTAAATAAAAAATACGGTCAAATTTAAATTAATTGTTTGTCTTCCACTTCGATGTCCAATAATTCATTAGTTATTTATGAAAGAAAGATAAAAATATAAATTACAACAAATTACTACTCGGCTCCAATGCCAACAGATGGTAGTCTCTGAACAATATATGTCTTCAACCAGCTCGATTTTAAGCTAAGTGTGCGTCATGTTGAGACTTCCTACTTTTTAGTTTTTAGCAGTGGTGATACAGGGAAAAAGAGGTCTTTCTCGATGCATTCTGCCTCATATTGATCTCCTAACGTACCCCTTAGTGTAATTGATTTGATCGTCGCTATTATATCTGGTTCTTTATGCACCATTGGCCACTTTCTTGTTACTCCTTATCCGCCACAAATTGTTAAACCACAACGACTTCGTATACATATCTCAAAATATTGCTATACAATGTACTAATGTATAAATATATCTTTACATTCTCGACAATCTAAATAGTTCAATCAATGCGTTTTTACCTTGCTTTAAGCTCTATACTTCTTCAAGGATGGGTTTGTTACTTGGGTGCTTATGCTTGTTTGGTTTGAAATGCCAGTTCTCGTTCATATGACTTCAGTTGGAGTCCGAAGACTAAGGGCGCCGCCGCTAAAGAGCTTAAAAGTCAAAGAGAGTAGGAAAAGGATAGGAAGGGAGCCGAGAACAAAAAGAAGGTAAGAGGCGGAAATCGTACCTTCCGGAAGAGTTAGCCCGGTATACCAAGCCTGTCACGAAGTACAAGTTCCATGGAAAAACGATTCCTTTCAGATTGTTGGCCATTGTTTGTTTGTTGGAAAAACGCGTGGAGGATAGCTGTGGCTGTGTCCTCATCTAGGATCAGGTATCATTGTGCAATGAGATTGGGAAACCACAGAAAACCAATCTCCCCCTGTCCCTGTGTATATTTAATCGACTCTTAAGGAGTGTGGTCGGTGCTCACAGTGTAGTGTTTTGTTGTGTGTTTGTGGAGTTTTGTATGTTTATTAATTTGGATTGTGAGCTGGGAGGAGGTAAAGTGTTGTGTATGGGTGATATTGGTGTGTGTGTGTATGAATGTGTGTTGATATGTAAGGTGTGATTTTCAGATGTGTAGGTGAGTGAAGGTTTGATTGACTAGGTTATTTGTGCATGAAGTGGCTATGGCACATCCATACATTGCGTTTGATATTTGGTTAAGGAATAGGGTTATTGCGCTTCTCTTTTCAAGTAAGACGTTGAATAGGAGCATGGATGTGAAGTGGATGAGGGATTTCATGTCGGAGGTTAGATCGTAGGATGGGATTTGTTTTTCTGTGTGTACTGGTTGGGTTTGGTTGTAGTTTGCGGGATGAACGCTTCTGTGAGGACATCTTGGTGAGAAGGCAGGGTGAGGACCACTACAGTTGGGACATTTTGGTGCTGATATTGTAGGGCAGGCAGTAGACCGATGGCTGAGTCCGCAGAACGGACAAATTATTGACTTTTCGGAACATTCGGTGTTGAAATGTCCGCTTTTGCAGCATCTCGAGCAGTATTTAGACCGAACGGGGACGGAGTTGCCTGATCGTGGAATTTCACAGGCCAACCGTTCACCCTCGATCAAAATACCGCTCGTGAGTGCTTTAGCGAACTTGGTTTCAGAGTTAGTGAATACTCTGATGTATGAGGTGGGTTGATTTGTGTAGCGGGCGATTATTCGAACTACTTTGGTATAGGAAAGTTGTTTTCGGATAGGTTATCCTCGATAAGTTTTTGGGAAAAGGTTTTTGCCACGCCGGCTATGACGAGGTGGAAGATAGATCAATTATAAGGATTAGATGATGGATTTTGGAACTTAGGTAGACGGGCTACAATGCGGATTTGGTCGTTTTGGATGATTTTTTGAAGGTTTGCCGTGATGTGGGCGATATCAAGGAGTTTTGTTGTTCGAATCGAGGCCGCCTTTTGGCTGGAAAGACTTTTAGTGAGTCCAATTTAGGGATGAGGTTATGTTGTAGGAGGAGGGGATAGAATGGTCTCTGCTGGCAGATATCAGCAGGGATGTCCTCTATCCTGTAGTTTTTGAATTGTGGTGGTTGTTGAGGGGGGGGATAGATTGAGGGTTTGGTGAGGTGGTTTGCGAGTGAATAGGGTGTGGTGGTGGTGTGTGTGGTATTGCTATTTCAGGTGTATGTGAAGGGGTTTGAATTGGGGGGAGGGTTGGAAGGTTGGAGGGTGGTGTTGGAGGTGAGGGGAGGGGATGTATCCAGGGATTGCAGACATGAAGGCGTTTTGAAGGATTTTTCGGATGGTATCTGGAGTTGGTGAATTTGTTTGTTGATCTTGGTTGTTGATTTTGTGACCTATAGGGGTGAGGTGTCCGCTGGCAGCCTCAGGATTTTGGTGACAGATCTCTGTCAGAGCCTGCTTCCATTCCTGTGGCGTCCGTGGTTCATGTCCGTCAATGTTGACTGAGACATGTGAAGTATGAGAAGAAGAGGAGGATTGGGAGTCGGTCTAAATAGTTGACATTTACTCTTCTTTGTAATATTTCAAGTTTCTGCACAATATAGTTCTACTGGTCCAACTATTTTTCAACTTTAATTTTTGATGTTTTATTCAGTAGAGAACTTTTAATCATTTTATTTAGTGGAGAAAACATCTGTTCCCGGCTACAATCCTTGCCTTTATTATTTCTTTTAATATACGATTGTCGCATACCTCTATCATATAGTTTAATGGGGCATTTTTGTATGGTTTCATAATATAATATTCCATTATACCTGACATCACACTGAAGCAGTGTGTCTTTCAATGCCTTTTCGAAAATTTGATATTTAACATCTAGCAATGGGCTGACAATCCGAAAATGGGATCAGACAAGGAGGCTCCCTGAGTTCTCTATTGTTCAACCTGATTCTGGATGAAATAATAAAAAAAGTAAGAACTGAAAAAGGATACTAAATGCGAAAAAAACAACTTAAAATGATCTGCCATGCAGACGACGCACTGCTACTCTCTTAGAGTAACGATGATTTACATGTGCTGTACCAATTTACTATAATCGCCAGAAAATTTAACATGTTAATTTCCCCAAAAAAGACAAAATATAAAATATAGTTATAACAGAAAATTTACTAAGATGTAAATTATAGTTTGAAGGTTAGAAAATAGAACAACTGATAGAGTTTAAATATCTAGGCATCACATTATCTAAATACGGGTTTAAAGGTGGAATTTACAAAACAGTCATCAGACCAATAATCGCATACGCGGCGAAACACGACCTGATACAGAGAGGAGAAAAAGGATGGTAGAAACAGCAGAGATAAAAACACTTAAAAAAATTGATAGTAAACAAACTGGGACAGAGAAGATATAAGACAGATATTAGAAGTACAGATATAAGACGTAGACGCAAGGTGGAGAACATCCAGAACTGGGTAAGAAATAGAAGAGTAGAATGGAATAATCATATAAGCCAAATAACAACAAATAGAGTAGTAAAGACGGCCAGAGACGGTTCCCCAGTAGGAAGACTTTCAGTAAGAAGATTACGTAAACGATCGAACGGCAACTTACTGGAGGCACATTGAAAAACAGAAGTCATGTCACCATAAAGAGAAAAAGAAAAAGAGAAGATCTAGCAATGAAATTCGACTAAAGTTTGAACTGGGTGCATAGCTTTTCTTATAAAGTTGACACATTGTTACAGTGTTTCAGTTTTCTGGTATTTATTCTTTAATCTAAAGCTGTCGTTAAGTTTTTGCTTTTTCTTTGACAGAATATTTGCTCTTGTCATACATACTTGAATGTTCTATGGGAGATTTAAAGTTTTTTATACTTTTGATACCTAATCTAAATTGAGTGATTGGAAAAATATACTCATAGTCTTCTCATTGATTATATGTCATGTGGCACATAATAAGTAGTATATATGAGGAAGAAAGGATTCACAATATATAAAGATAAAGGGAACAATTAAGGACTTTAAGAACTATAGAGGGATAAAATTAATGTCAAAAACAACGAAAATTTGGGAGAGGACTGAAAAGGAAAGATTAATGAGTGAACTTCGATAGAAGAAGAACAATTTGGGTTTTATGGGTTTATGCCAGGAACGAGAACAATGGATGTCTGGAGAGAAATGGGTTCCTGAGGAGTGTGTAAGGCTCATGAAAGATATGTATGAGGAAGCGTATACCAAAGTAATGACGTGTCTCGGATTCACCAAAAGTTTTCCAGTGACAGTTGGTTTGCATCAAGGCTGTTGCAGTCGGTTTACTCAGTTCCTACCAGTTTAATTTTAATATGAATGTACTGACAGAATTAGTAATGAGACTCTTTTGCTATCATGATTAGGTATGGTTGTATGTTTAAAGAAAAATGACGTATTATGGTTTTTCTTATGGGTATTCTCGAGATAAAGTTAATCTCATGTAACCCGAGTGACCTATATGCCAATAAAGTCTTCTCAGGAACATAATTGATAAATATTGTTAAAATTTCCAAAGAAAATAGTTTCAGAACAATATTAAAAATCAAAAATATACAGATACTCGTATATGATCAAAACAGTATAGCAAATATTTTTTTGTTTATTGTCTCAGATTTTACTGTTAGGACTTTGCTATACGAAATTTGTATGTATATAAAGTATAAAAAGATTCTGAAACTATTCTTGTTGCATGCTGCATGTTAAATATCAATATATATATATATATATATATATATATATATATATATATATATATATATATATATTAGTATACTGGTAAGGTTGATTGGGTTAGCAGCTGAATAATGAAAGCCAAAATGTGCTCTTTTCAACGATTTCGTTTTATTTCGTTAAATTTCTTTAACATCTTCAGACGAACGCTACAATATGTTACAAAATGGTGAAATTGTGTATTTTACATAAGATGTAGTGAACACTTACTTGTGTGAGGTTGCAGGCAAAAGTGGTATTTGAAATTTCCATGATGAAAAACTTCTTTGAAGATTTTTTTATAGCAAAAAAAAGAATAAGTTGTATGTGTTATATGGTGG